CAACACAAATACGTACGCGGTGGGTAGCGCACCCCGATCCCCCGATACCGTAACAACAATGTAACCGTAAGAGACCTCCCGTATCCCTGCTTCCCCTGGTGTCGACCTACGACCAAAGCGAGATGACGAGAAGGGAGGGGAGTGACCGGTGAGGGAGGCCATCGGCAGCATGATGTGGGTGTCGACGTTCTCGCGTCCAGACGTCTCGTTCGCCGTGCGTGTGGTAGCGCGCCACGCCCACGCCCCGGCGAAGCGGCACTGGGATGCCATACAGAAGATCCTCGGCTACCTGAAAGGGACGAGGGACCTCGGCATCACCTACCAACGGGGATCGGGGTTAGGGCTGGCCGTGTACGTAGACGCTAGCTACGCCGACACGGAGGATAAGCGTTCGGTGTCAGGGTTGGCGACGACGGTTGGAGGTACCGTAGTCAGCCATGGTATCAAGACACAGAGCACCGTGTCTCTGTCTTCGACGGAAGCCAAGTACATTGCTGCCGGGGAGGGCGTCAAGGAGGCGTTGTTTGTGCGTGCTGTGCTTTCGTTGTTGCCCCAGAGACCAGGGGTAGCAGCATCCAGGTCCTTGAGGACAACCAGGGGGCCATAGCGTTGGTGCAGAACCCCCTCGGCTCAGGTCGCACGAAACACATCGAGGTGAGGTTCCATTTCATCCGCGGATTGTTTAGGTCGGGGGATATTTCCGTCAAGTTCGTTCCAACAACGGAGCAACACGCGGACCTCCTAACCAAGGCCCTTAGCAGGGCCAGTCTGCAGTACCACCGGCGCAAGTTGATGAATTTGCCGGAGTAGCTGCAGCAGTTTCTAGCACTTGGGAGAGGCCATGTTTTCCATGCGGGGAAAGGCGCATAACTGTTGCGGTCTGTGAACCAATGGCAGGAGTAGGGGGCGTTGGGAGATCATCGTCCGGGGGAACGTAGTTCCTCGCGTTCTTGTCTTCGCCTTGGCCTTTCTATGAAGTGCGGCCGTTGTGATCCGCTGTGATAGCGACGGTTTTTGTGGTGGTAGTGTTTTTTGTTTTTTCGAGGGGTTTTGCCCGGACGCCGGGTTTCCCCTTCATATATTACCATGTTGGTGTTCTCTGATGTATCCAGGGGCGTTCTTGCCCCATTGATGGTTAGTCACTTGCGTGAAGAGCCAGGGAGGGTGTTCGTGGGTCTGCGAACAATGGTGTTGGACATGTTGTGCTGGATGATTTGGGGCCACTCAGGTTGGTAAGATTGCCGTTTGGTAGGGGGCACCGCGATGATTCACGGGCCCCTCCTTGCTGTGGGAGCCGCTCTTTGAGCACCCCCTCGTTCGTCCATGTGATGGACGATCGCCTACCTCTCGTGAAGTTAATACATCACCAAAACAGTCTCGTCCGATAAATAAGTGGCGTAGGCCGCAAACATGAGCAAGCCACCGGGCGCTGCTCAACCTTCCCCGCCAAATACTCAAGTGATGCATCCGGTTGTCAAACCACCTTCCATAGCGTGTGAATGGTTGCGCATCTTCCTTCGACGACTCTCTCTGCGCGGAGGCTAACGAGGTGGTCGTGATGTGCCAATTGTAAGCCTTTCTCAGGCGACCGAGGCTCGGACAGAATTTTGGCGTGTGATGCACACGGGAACCACAAGGGATTCGTGACCAGCGAGCAGCAGCACCTGCTGCTGAAAACTGCTGCTGGAGGATGCAGAGCACGCATCGGGGCCGAAGTTTCTCTGCGTTGTACGGGGGAAGAGGAGACGAAAGGTCGCCATTTCACCAGACGAAGAAACAACGCGTGGACGCGCGAGCCAAGGGCGATGATCAAACACGAGACCGACGTGGACGCTGAGAGCATAGGAGAAACACGAGGACACATGTTCGAGGACGGCGGAAGGCGATTGAAGCGCCCGTCCAGGCCACCGCAAACATCAGGATGGATGGTATCACACTCAGTGACTGGACTGGACAGCGGCAACGGCAACAACAATGCGTTCATGACACTGTTGCCGCTGTCGTTTAGTGTTGCTCACGCCCTTGGGGCACAGCAGTAGTGGGCACAGAAACGTGTAGCGCCGCGAGAACCTCAAAAACGACATTGTACCATCACGATCGCCTTGTGTCGACGCACCGCGTGCATGGTGGACGTGGTCTCCGCTAACGCGCCAGCATGATGGATCAGACAGCACTCGTTGCCACCGCTAATATTCTTGTTCGCACCAAAAAAATTGGCCGCATCCCTAATGGACCTACGCACAGGCTTTTCTCAACATCTACAACCATTGGTGCAACGACACAGAAAACGAGAATGTTACCGTTCTCGAGGAAGAAGGTTGCCTTTTCGCCGAATCCTTCGCACAATTCTCAATAATGCAGTCAGTCTTCTCGCATTGCCTTGTAGCACAAAACACAGGCAGGGGACACAGCGGTAGAGCTTCCATGAACACCCCCTGCGCCCCCTCCCCAACCCTCTCTTCGAACCCAAATATCAGGGCTTGCGGGCCGGCTGCACCAGCCTACTGTCGCACCCCGAAAACAGTCCACCACTTCCTTTCCAGGGGTTCCTCCCTCTAAGCGAATGGAAAGATCTGTTGATGGGAATGAGAATGCAGATTGAGCAATGTGGGCAAGCCCAATAGGGCACGAGAAATCGGTCGGGGAAGGAGGGTCCGATGAGGTTAGCTTGCTACGTTTTGTACAGCATGGGCGCGCATGCGTGGCGAGGAGGGGTACATCCAGAGAACGAGAGGTTTCGATGTCATTTGGGGTTTCGATTCGATTTCGCAAGAGGGTGTCACACAAGCACGAAGAATCCAGTCAAACATCGATTGCGCTTTAGATGACAAAAAATGATGGCGGATATGTACACAGCAGTGCAATTCGCGATGCACCACAACTTTTTTACAGCTGAAAAGTAGCATACAAAGCATCACATCCTTGACTCTGTCCTCCCTCCCCTCCTTGTCTTCCTTTTTCTATCTCTGTCGTTTTCCCTCTTACGTTCCCGTTGAGAAGCTGCTCCACGGGTCCCTCGCCCGTCACGAGCTCCTGCACCAAGCACCCCACCACACCCAGCATTGCCAGGCGTCCGTGCTTCAGCTCGGCCATCTGAACCTTATCCCACTCCTCCTTGTCCACCGGCTTCGCGAACGCTCCAAACTCGCCGAGCTCTCCCGGAGCTCTGTCTACGTAGTCCTGGTGTCGACGGCGGCGGCGGCGACAAGGATAAAAAAGTGAGGTTCCGGCATCGCAAGGAACAGGCCAGCCAAGGGAAGGGAGCCCGAACCTCGACGAGAGCCATCACTTTACCGACCGCGGTGTGACGTTATGGTGTTAGGTGGGCACGGCCCCGCCTGGGGCGTCGAATACGCCCAGGGCTTGTTCAACATATCCCTTCCTTACGGGGTGGCTGGAGTGGCCACGAAAAGACAACGTATGCCACCAAAATAGGTTCGAACTTTTGGTTTGAAATAAGCCCACAAGGTCGGGAAGCCAGAACTTACATAACAGGCAAATGTCTTGTTTTCGACCAACCGCTGTTCTGTAGGAAATGAACATACACACCCAAAGATATGTGGTAACAGTATAATACAATACGTGCTCTTGTATGCCAAGCTAGAAACTTCAGAAACACAAGACCGACGACACTGCTGTTGCTGGGCTGCCGAGTATGTGCCGCCGTAACACGAACTGCTGCGCTTTGTACCTTCGCTGCCGTGCCAGAGAGAATAACGCGCGAGTATGCCCACAAACCTGCTTCCCTATCGTGAGTTCCACCACCCCAGTGCCCAACAGAAACAGCACCACGTTGTTTCCCTCGGTCGACAATAGCCCCTTCAGCACCGCCAGCGGGCGCGCTGGATTAGACACAGGAAACGGCGGGAAACCCGGGAAGTGCACGAAGGACTGCACCAAGATACCGGTGACGGCGAGCATCGCCACCTGTCGGACCGACGAAAACAAGGAGGGGTTGCGGTCGACACCGGTGTTGTTGCGTTGAAGATTGCTTGTGACCACGTTGCCTCCAAGCACCCGAAAAGCGCTGAATTAGCTGCAGGCAGGCAGGCAGAAGGGGGCGGACAACTGCATGGGTGTTTCCAAGCGAAAGCATGTCACATTTTTTCCAAGTCAAAACACGGGGGGGAGTGCAAAGATGGTTCGGCAGGGGCTCGACTGTGAAGGCTTCCACAGGCAAGTGAAGTACTTACCAGACGTGGCGGGTTAAACAAGCGAACTACGGATGTATTTGAGGGCCAAAGCAGATTACTTCCATCGCCCTCCCATTATGTTCACTATTTCTTAAGTCCTACAAGTATCTTATGATTTTTTTCCTCCGGTCTCCCGTGAGGTGAAGATTTGACAACAGACACAACAGTCACCGCTAGCCACACACTTGAGACCGGGGACCGGGCACAGGATTACTATCTGCAAATCCTTTAGTCCTGAACAAGGTTGTGGCATCACAATGCACAGAGGCATAAACAAGACAGGATCTCGGGTGACGACTGCTCTACACCGACCCCCCAAAAAAAAAATCCTGGAAACAGGAAGGTCTAGAGGGGTTCAAGGAGAAAAGATCTGTTGGTTTGCAGAGAGAGAAGAACAAGTCGAATAAAAATAAACCAAGGATAAGGAGGGTCTAGATGTGTACGGAACGTTGCAACAAGGAAGAGGGAGCACTTACATGGACAAACGGATGCAGGGACAAAGCTGAAGGTCAAATTCAGGACCGGGGACATTGGCCTTCAAGAACGTAGACGAAGACATAGGACGGTAGACGATGAAGGCGACAAGTTCAAACGTGATTGCGGCTCCTAGTGCGAAGACCCCATGTCAAAACGTAATGTCCGTTGTACGAGAAGGAGAGACAAGTGTAAATGACTGTGCTGGGAAAAATACAAGGGAGGTACAGGGAGATGTTTCAGGCATGGAACCGAGAGGAGAAGACGGTAGCTGTACTGGAGAATAGGAGGTGGTTTGAAAAGGCGGGAAGATATCGCTTGGACAGACTAGGGAAGACATTTTCGAGCCACCTTTGGCAAAGTAGGAAGGAACGGTTGGCCATCGGTGATCGGTCCTGTAGGAAACATGCTCCGTCCTCTCGAGGACTCGTGGTCAATGGTCTAACCGCTAAGGCATGCAAAACATAAGAATACGCCCCCCCCCACATCCCCCCCGGTGTTTGCCATCGGGGTTGGGTTTTCGTCGCTTGGCAACGACGTTGTAAAACAA